TTTCTCACCAGGACACTGTATCCAAAGGATTTAATCATTGGTGCTGTCACGCTGGTCTGTACCTTTGTCTTGTTTGGCATTGCGCAAAGTCGGGAGCAGAGGATTGCAAAGCTGAAGTCACAGTACCCCTCCCTGGTACCTATCGCTGTCATTGCAGTAGCAGTGCTCGTTATCTATGCATTAGGGTCCATTCTTGTATTCATCTGGGGGGTCACTGTACCGCTTGCAGGTATTTATCATTACAACATTATTGGATATAGTGATAAGTAATCACAGTAGGGTTGATTTCCACTGTTTTTTTGGTCTGTACGCATTCCTCCCTCAGCGTGGGCTCATTTCCTGAAACAGTACTAGTGGCTGGTAATTGAACCTACAATCAAAGGGGCCACACAATAAATTTATTCAGGGCTACTCCAGCCATCCTGTCTTATTCTCAGTTTATTATTAGAATTTATTACTTTTTCTACAAGCCAAGTGGTCCATCAGTCTGGCATTTTCCTTCAGTTTCTCTAGCATAAGAGATTAATACTATTTCTACTCTCCCCAGGATGGGAAGCTGGTCCATCCAGGGTTTTCCTCCACCATTAAATTTGCCAGCACCCATTTATACACCTGGCTAGAGAGAGGCACTGTGAGAGTGTCTTTCACCTAAGTAAACAACTCAGTGTCCCTGGCAGAGTTCAAACCCAGACCACTCCATCCAGAGTTGAATGCACTTGCCACAAGGTCACTGTGCCTCCGTTTTCTACATTAGAAACTATTAATAATAAAACTTATTTATTCATTGATATATTTACTTATTTATTAGATTTCTTCGTGGAATTCAAGTGGCAAGCCAATTTAGTGATTTCTTTTTTGCTGATTTTGATTTTGTTGATCTCAAAACTTCTACATCAGCTTCCCATACTTGCTACGACAGTTAATGTACCTTCATTAACTTCAAATTGATAGACAGCTTAGTGGTTTGATAAGTTAATAATGGTGAATTTTAAGCTCGGTAATGAAAATGTGAAGGTGAACTAATCAACATGACACGAGCATGAGACAAAGAAAAATTCTGAGTCCCCGACAGGATCTCGTGTCATGTTGATTAATTCACCTTCACAGCTTAGTGGTTTACTTGCTCGTCGACACATGCCAACAGTTTCTGTAGAAACTAATAACTTCATTTCTTTTTTAGTCATTCTTCTGCATGCAGCAACTCGGAAGCGAAACATTAAAAACAAGTTTGCCAATGTGGTAGAGGTATTTAAGGAAGATGTCACTCCAATGACGATCATTCTGTCAAAGATATGCACCATTGAGCAAGAACAACAAGCAAGTGGCATGCATCAGAATTGAAAATGCTGGAAATGAAAGTAGTGGGGCCAAAACCCTCTGACAGCTGTCATAGAAATAAATGAAATGGGATGTTGGATAATTTGATTTTCAACAGTCTTGCAGAAAATAGCAGGAGCTTCCATTGCCATTAGTCCTGAGGGGGGGAACCCCCATATGAAAAAGTTGGGGATGCACGCCAGAAAATTTGAATTAAATCGCTAAAGGAGACCAATCTGGGCTTTACTCAAGCTTTATTTGACCCCTAAAAGATACCACTGAAAACAGAATAGGTTTCCACTGTTCAGGAAAGAAGCCCTCACTACTAGACTGGACTCGAAATTGAGCCTAAAAGCAGAAATAAGAGCATTATTTTTTGAGGATTATTTCTTCGAGCGCACCCTATAAGATACTTTGACAGGTAAAAATAGCGAGCGAGCGAGACAACGAGCATCCCCAACCTTTTCATATGGGAGTCCCCCCCTCCAGGCTTTTAGTTGTCAGCACAAAGAGTTGTCATCAATTCATTATCAGACTAACAGGACATTTGACATTAACAGAGCCTTGTATCATACTGGCAATGTCTTAAGACAGCAACTAAATCATTTCAGGGCTTGGTTGCTAAATATGCGCTTTGTAACTGTTAAAGTACTTCATTTAAGATATTGAAATTTTGAGGAAATGATACACATAGTTTTATATCATATGCAATGCTGACTGCTTTTGTAGACAACATGGTTTTTCACAGAGAAGACTATATATTGGAATTTGAAATCATATGAAACAGTTAAAAGTAAGGCATAGTTTCTAAAAATAAAATTGAAATGCTGGGCGGCACTTTCGTGATACTCCACACTCCCCAGACAGGACTGATGGTCAAGGAAGTGTCATAGAAAAAAATATATTTTTCAAGGTTGGAATATTACAGTATCCTAAATTCCTTGTCAGACAGGGAATTTAATTTCAAGGATACAGGCTACAATCAGGGACAAAGGTGTTGAAACATTTTTTGCAAATCGGACATTTTGCACCGGGATCCGTTGTTGTTTTTATCCCTTGATAAAAGAAACACCTCTATCGTCAATAGCCACCCCAGCCCCCTGATCAATGTTGAAACGGGCTTTGGCGACGTTGTCATGAGGTTACAACACTGAAAGGGGAGAGAGGGAGGAAATATAAGTAGTGCAGGTAGGACAAATTACACGTGAAGGGGGAAAGTTTTTTTCGGGAAGTGGCTCAATTATTTTTGTCCCTGATTGTAGCTAGAGGTTTAAATCATGAGCATTGTCACTTGTTATAAGGACTGTCTTGTTATGCTTGAATAAAACTTGTCCTCTGCAAAAGGGCTATTTAGTTGATCAGAGAAGATAAGTGAGTGAGTCAGTGAAGTTAGTGAGTCAGAGAAGGTAAGTGAGTGAGCAAGTAAGAACATCAACGGTCACCAGCAAAACTTCTCTACAACTGGAGCCTTTTCTCAAAGCAAAAGGCTTCAAGCATGCAATCAAGTGACCTCAAGTGTTCAATAAGCCAAATCGAAGTTTCAAAAATTAGGATAAATTTTATCCCTAATTTATTCTCTTCTGTTGTTATTTAAACCAGCCGCGATGGGGCGGGTGTACACAGACTAGCACACTGCACTGAGTCTTAAAACTCCGATATGGCTTATTCCTGAAGTATTCAACTTTCCCCTCAGGAGTTTTTAAACTCTCGGGGGTAATGTTGAATACTTCAGGAAAAACATTTGACTAATTCAGCGTAGCGGTATGTCTAGCGTTTTTTTTTCTTTATGCTGCATGCGATACGTGAATGAGAAGGGGCGGTCGGAACATTGAAAAACATTTCAAATGTTGCCGCAAAGTCAAACTTGCACACGTATCTGCTAGGGTAATTCAAATGGCAACATCTAGAAGTTAAACAATTGACAATGTCGATTTAGCCTCCGTTGAACGGGGGGAGATGGGGGGAAGGGCGAGGGGAGAGAGCGAGAGCGGAGATAGAGGAAGGGAATCCAGGGCGTCATATATCCCCGTTATATCGCAATTCAGTTATATCCCCAATCACAATTCAACGTCCATATTGAATTTTTAAACAAAACGAAGGTAAAAGAAAAAGAAACCTCAAGAAACGTCAGTCATAATGTTTGTTTAATTTTGAACAATTGCATTTTGATAAGCTGTAAACTTAGTGTGTTTTGGTGAACAACACATTTTTTGTCATTCCTGCTATTATAAATTCACCGTAAAGGTTTTGAACCAACTTTGCATGGAGTCATGCCTCGCTTCTCGCAGTGACGTTGTTTTCTTCAAATGTTCGAGTTTCCCTTTTTTCTCTTTCGTTATAGTTGATCTGTTCCTGAAGCATATAAGACATTTCCACCGGTTTTATTCGTTTGTGGGAGCAAACGTGTCTTCTATGTATAGAACACCCTTGACGGATAATCATGAATTGGAGATTTGCAGTCTACAAAACAAGGAGGAAATACTTAGTTTTGAAACGAAACCGAGATTTCTTTCAAAATCACTGAACCCCCAACCAATACACCCACTGATAACTACCCCGTGAGAAAAACCAATTACTTTAAGTTCTCTCTATTATTAGTGTTTATCCCAGTCGAACAAAAGAAAAAACACTCAAGAAGTCGGCTTTCTTTCGCAAGTCTACAACCCTCTTAGCGAGTTTTGAACCGAAACAGAGATTTCTTTCAAAATCACCGAACCCAATCAACAAAACACTGACAAATATCCCGTCAACACTTAGACTTAGCTAGGTCTAATCAAAACTGCTATTATTACTGAACATTCCCAAAACTTTTCTTGAATTTTAAGCACTGCAATAATGTTTTATTAACTGGTAACGACTATCAACCGCATTAGGAAGCAGTCGTAAAACTCATGTGAAAATTGCAAGTTTTAAATCCAGAAATAGCAACCGCTCGCACTTGAGCTTGTGAATCTCTCAGCGGATTATGAACTCACTGCGGGCAAACAACCGACTCTGTACCAACACCTCAAGCGGTTAATTATGCGTCTCCTCTGGTGTAAAAACGACATATACTATCACACTCAGCTCTCAGTTCGAAGCGCGAAAGCACATAGTTCGTTTTGGCGAATTATCCGTCTTCTGCCCCACGACACACTAAAAGCACTTGCCCAAGTCCGCCCGACAGATTATGCCTCTCTAGTATAGAGAGGCATAACATTGGCGCAACATTCTTGCACGAGCCTGGCCAAACGAGCACCACATCATGCAACATCCACAAATGTTGCATGAAAAATTCGACCATTTTCAAACTTGAGCGAACAACACGCAACATATCGCAACAAGATGGCCAAACGCGCGCAACATGTTGCGCCCAACAATGTTGCGATATGTTGCGTTGAAATGTTGCGATCGTTTGGCCGGGGCTTGAGAGAAAATCTCTTCGATGTGTAGAAAACCGTCGAGGGATAATCATGAATTGGCATTTTGCAGTGTACAAAACAAAAAGGAGAAAATACTTAGGTTTGAAACGAAACCGACATTTGTTTGAAAATCACTGAACCCCAACCACTATTTGACCACTGATAACCACCCCGTGAGAACAACTAATTACCATCCAAACTATCGCTAAGTTCTTTCTATTATTAGTGTTTATCCCGGTCGACCAAAAGAGACAACACTCAAGAAGTCGGCTTTCTTTCGCAAGTCTACAACCCTTTCAGCGAGTTTTGAACCGAAACAGAGATTTCTTTCAAAATCACCGAACCCCGGCAATCAACAAAGCACTGACAAATATCCCGTCAACACTTAGACTTAGCTAGGTCTAATCTAAACTGCTATTATCAGTGAACATTCCCAAAACTTTTCTTGAATTTTAAGCACTGTAATAATCTTTTATTAAGTGGTAACGACTATCAACCACATTAAGAAGCAGTCGTAAAACTCATGCGAAAATTACAAGTTTTAAATCCAGAAATAGCAACCGCTCGCACTTGAGCTTGTGAATCTCTCAGCGGAGTATGAACCCAAGCAAACAACCGATTCTGTACCAACACTTCAAGTGGTTAATTATGCGTCTCCTCTGGTGTAAAAACGACATATACTATCACACTCAGCTCTCAGTTCGAAGCGCGAAAGCACATAGTTCGTTTTGGCGAATTATCCGTCTTCTGCCCCACGACACACTAAAAGCACTTGCCCAAGTCCGCCCGACAGATTATGCCTCTCTAGTATAGAGAGGCATAACATTGGCGCAACATTCTTGCACGAGCCTGGCCAAACGAGCACCACATCATGCAACATCCACAAATGTTGCATGAAAAATTCGACCATTTTCAAACTTGAGCGAACAACACGCAACATATCGCAACAAGATGGCCAAACGCGCGCAACATGTTGCGCCCAACAATGTTGCGATATGTTGCGTTGAAATGTTGCGATCGTTTGGCCGGGGCTTGAGAGAAAATCTCTTCGATGTGTAGAAAACCGTCGAGGGATAATCATGAATTGGCATTTTGCAGTGTACAAAACAAAAAGGAGAAAATACTTAGGTTTGAAACGAAACCGACATTTGTTTGAAAATCACTGAACCCCAACCACTATTTGACCACTGATAACCACCCCGTGAGAACAACTAATTACCATCCAAACTATCGCTAAGTTCTTTCTATTATTAGTGTTTATCCCGGTCGACCAAAAGAGACAACACTCAAGAAGTCGGCTTTCTTTCGCAAGTCTACAACCCTTTCAGCGAGTTTTGAACCGAAACAGAGATTTCTTTCAAAATCACCGAACCCCGGCAATCAACAAAGCACTGACAAATATCCCGTCAACACTTAGACTTAGCTAGGTCTAATCTAAACTGCTATTATCAGTGAACATTCCCAAAACTTTTCTTGAATTTTAAGCACTGTAATAATCTTTTATTAAGTGGTAACGACTATCAACCACATTAAGAAGCAGTCGTAAAACTCATGCGAAAATTACAAGTTTTAAATCCAGAAATAGCAACCGCTCGCACTTGAGCTTGTGAATCTCTCAGCGGAGTATGAACCCAAGCAAACAACCGATTCTGTACCAACACTTCAAGTGGTTAATTATGCGTCTCCTCTGGTGTAAAAACGACATATACTATCACACTCAGCTCTCAGTTCGAAGCGCGAAAGCACATAGTTCGTTTTGGCGAATTATCCGTCTTCTGCCCCACGACACACTAAAAGCACTTGCCCAAGTCCGCCCGACAGATTATGCCTCTCTAGTATAGAGAGGCATAACATTGGCGCAACATTCTTGCACGAGCCTGGCCAAACGAGCACCACATCATGCAACATCCACAAATGTTGCATGAAAAATTCGACCATTTTCAAACTTGAGCGAACAACACGCAACATATCGCAACAAGATGGCCAAACGCGCGCAACATGTTGCGCCCAACAATGTTGCGATATGTTGCGTTGAAATGTTGCGATCGTTTGGCCGGGGCTTGAGAGAAAATCTCTTCG